ATTCGCTCCGCTGTGAATGTGATCGCCGATGGTCTGTCACGTATACCAGTAGACGACGTCTGGCACGACGATGACACGGTGATGATCGCCCAGGGGGGAGCATTCATTCTGGCCAGGGTTCATAATGTCCAGGGTACGATATGCCCAGTGTCGAAATGGCCAGTGCCTTGAATGGGCCAGAGTTCATAATGTCCAGGGATTTCATGGTCCAAATGCGGCCAACTGGCTGCAGATAGGGTATATTCAAAGAGGCCAGGGTTCATAATGTCCAGGGCACGATGTGTCCAGTGTTCGAAATGGCCAGGGTTCATAATGTCCAGGACACGATGTGTCCAGTGTTCGAAATGGCCAGGGTTCATAATGTCCAGGGCACGATATGTCCAGTGTTCAAAATGGCCAGTGCCTTGAATGGGCCAGAGTGCATAATGTCCAGGGATTACATAGTCACTGATAGTGACGTCATTATGTAAAAAACACGGAACCAGCTCAATGCGAAGCAGTGCAGTGCCGAAGGCAATGCCTTAGGAGAGATTACAGGCAATAGTGAATCAAATATTTTTAGGTTAAGTGGTTATGTATCCCTGATGCATAACCACTTAACCTAAAAATATTTGATTTACTATTCCTTGCAATCTATTCATGCGAGAAACTATTTCCTTATCCCCGGTAGGCAAACATCATTACCTTAGGTTAGGTTAGGTTAGGTTAGGTTAGGTTAGGTAAGGTTAGGTTAGGTTAGGTTAGGTTAGGTTAGGTTAGGTTAGGTTAGGTTAGGTTTGGCTGGGTTGGGTTGACTATGTAATCCCTGGACACTATGAACTCTGGCCCATTCAAGGCACTGGCCATTTTGAACACTGGACACATCGTGCCCTGGACATTATGAACCCTGGCCATTTCGAACACTGGACACATCGTACCCTGGACATTATGAACCCTGGCCATTTCGAACACTGGACACATCGTGCCCTGGACATTATGAACCCTGGCCTCTTTGAATTTACCCTATCTGCAGCCAGTTGGCCACATTTGGACCATGTAATCCCTGGACAATGTGAACACGGGCCAATTCAAGGCACTGGCCATTTCGAGCACTGGACACATTGTGCCCTGGACATTATGAACCCTGGCCTAAATAATACGCACCCTCGCCCAGGTCGGGACGAGCGCCATTTCAGAGTCCGAGTGGGCAGAGCAGTCGGCCGCGGACGCGACGATCAGCGCAGTGACGACGTATCTCGAGTCCGGTACGTGGCCGAACAAGAGTTGCCAGCGGCGGTCATGCCTTTCTTAAGAGTCCGCGCCGAGCTCAGCTGCAGAGGGAATTAGTTTACTGTTCCGGACTGACCGACTGGTCGTCCCAGAGTCGTTGCGGAGTCGCGTGCTCGGGCTCGCGCACGAGGCTCACCAGGGAATGGTGGCAGTGAAGCAGCGGCTGCGGGAGCGGTTCTGGTGGCCGGCGATGGACGCCGACGTCCAGACAGCGCTCCGGGACTGTCCGATATGTTCCCGGCACGACGCGCACGCGACCCAGTGCCGTCCTCCGCTGCAGCCGATCCAGCTCCCGTCTGGACCGTGGAAAGTGCTGCAGATGGACTTCGTCGGGCCGCTGCCGGGCCCAGCCAACGCGCGGTTCGGCCTGGTATTGTGCGACTTGCACAGTCGCTGGCCAGAAGTCGTGTTATGTTCAGACGCAACCGCATCCACAGTGGTGGAGTTTCTTGAGTCTCTGTTCAGTCGCGAGGGGCTGCCAGAGAGTATCGTTTCCTACAATGGGCCACAGTTCCGTTCAGTGGAGCTGCGACGGTTCCTGGAGTCAGTGGGAGTGAAGCACATTTTCAGCTCTCCCTAATCGCCGCAAACGTGCGGCATGGTGGAGAGGGTAAATCGCACAGTGAAAGGTGCTTTTCAGGCAGCTCGGCTCTCTGGGCAGTCGAGAGCAGTCTATCTCCGTCGTTTCTTGCGCGAATACAGGACGACGAAGCATCCGGCGACGGGTTGCACTCCGTTCCTTCTCATGCGAGGGCGGGAGATGAGGACAGCGTTAGACGTCCCTCCCCCCCCCCCCGCGGAGGAGACCAGCGCTGCGCGGGAGCGCGACTCGGAGGTGCGGTCGCGGGTCACTTCGTACCAAAGACGCTACAAGGCGCGCCATGACAAGCGTGCCCGCGCCCGCCAGCCGTCTTGGAAGGCTGGCGACTGGGTAAGAGTACGCCACCCGGTGACGAGAAAGCTGGAGGGACGGGAGCCGGTTCAGATCGCGGAGCAGACTGGCCCCGTTAGCTACCGTTTTAGCACAGGGGAGCGGGTTCACGCGCCGACTGGCACCTGGCCAAGAGCCGACGGTAACGCTAAGCAGGGAGCCGGGTTCGATGGTCACGTGGGGCCTGTAGTGATGCAGTCACATTTAAATTCCGCACGGGCGTATACATATTCTGACGTCACGTGAATCGTCAGGACAACTTAAAATCTCTGTGACCTAGTTGGGAACGCCCCGGTTTTGGGATGGGACTGGACCTTGGAATTGTAACTACAGCAGTGTCTCTGGCCTTAATAAATATGTGACTTGTTACAGGGCCCTACCCCTGGTCCTCAGTCCGATGCCCCACAGACTTTTGACTCGTCCTTCAGTCCCGTCGGCACTCCCCGACGGGAACAGAGCGTTAGGGACGGGGAGAGCCCGCCTCCGTTCTTAACTCCTGAGGCCGTTCCTGCGCCGCGCCGCGGTGAACGTGGGTTGAGTCTACCGAGACGGGACCGCGCTCTGAGCGAGGAGAATGACGGCGGGCACAGACGGGACATAACAGAGGTCACGGGTGTCATTTTACGGTTCAGTGTGTCATGTTTACTTGTTCGGTGTTGCAAAGTGTTAAGCTTGCCTTTAGTCTAAACTACTAGGCGCATATCAATTATATCAATTATTCAATTAATCAATTATATCAATTATCAATCATAGTAGGCGCATATCAATTTTCTCCCATTGACTTATGTATAATGAAGAGGTCGCAAAATTGACCTGACCTTAGGCCGCAGATATAAAATTCCGAGACAATATATACTGCTACCCTCATCAATTGCTCAAAACTGCAAAGTAATCCTCCCCCCCCCCACCAGCACGGTGCGGGTTAAGGTTGGGTACCTACTATCAGCTTCCTCTTATCACGAGCAATGTGCTCATATTGTGCTGCGAAACTCTAATGGCTGAAACAGACTCTTTCCGCGTTCAGGAAATCGCATGCGATAGCCTATTCAAATACATTATAATTATTCCCGAATCAATCGCATCCGGGAGGTGCGTGCGATTGATGCGAGCGTGCTTCCATGTATTTGAATAGGCTCTCGCATGCGATTTCCTGACTGCAGAAAGAGTCTGTTTCAGGCATAAAGGCCGAACACATTCAATAATAAGTGCCATCAAAGCCTGAATTCAAGGGCGCGATTGGACACTGGTGAGATTTTAGCTCTGACGTATCCTGTTGATAGGATTGTTTCGCCAAATGGTGAGCCGGTGTCTCACTATGTTGTGGACGGATGAAACCACGGAACCATTTTTCATAGTGAGACACCACGGAGCCACGGGCAGTCCAGCCTAATAAGGCGTGCAGCCCGGACTCGATTAGTGCCCGCATCGTGAAGGAATGCGCAACGGAACTCTCTGTTCCGCTTAGCATTTTATGTCAACAATCTGTGACCTTGGGAATATTTCCGAATAAGTGGAAGGAAAAGGCTCAATGAGAATGGCCTCGAATTTCCGATCCATTTTCCTTCTTCCACTGTTCGGAAAGGTTCTCGAGAAAGCCGCCTTTGAATCGTTAATGAGCCATGTCCGTCCTGTTTTGTCTGACAAACAACATGTGTTCATGCCTAATCGGTCCTGCAATACCAACCTGTCAACATTGCTAAAAGCTGGATGGGAACAGTGGCGCAGCCAGGATTTCGTTTCGGGGGGGGGGGGGGTCATCGCCTCCAAAGCGGGCCCCCTAGTGTGCGGGCCCCCACTCATTTTTCAGAATCTCTCCATATTTCATACACATTCTGCTGAGCGGGCCCTCTTTACCTGCACGATAACCCTGAGCGAGTACCTATGAATCAGAAAATTTGGATAGAACAATTGCTCGGTAATCACCCGGTGCTCAATTTTTACGCAAATTGACCACAACAGAAATATGTTACTATGACGTATGAATTCGTATCTTTCGAGGCCGAAATGTGCCCCTTCCGCAATATGCATAGCATATATGCAATCGGAACTGTTGCCTGCTTCTGTCGGACAAGATTTAAGTAGGCTCATGTGCCTGTCCTAAGCCATCTATTGGCTGCTGTAGTATCTAGATTATGCCATTATTCTTTTTCATTACGTGAATTCGCTCACAAAAAGTTTTAGCCCTCGCCGGCACAGGGGGGAGGGGTTGATGATGCACCCCCCTAAGGTTTTTTTTTTCGCGAATAACTCGCGTAAAAAGCGGCTGATCGCGACGTAACTTTCAGCACCCTCGCGTTGATCAATTTTACACCTACCTACCCTAGATATTTCATGACCCTGACCCAAATGACCTTTGACCTCCTTTCCGAGACCATGTTTGGCCAGAATCGCGGTTCGGCGTATGCCGGCTCGTATCAGCCGCGCGTTTGTAGTCCTTTCGTGGTTTCAAGCGTTCAAACATGGATTTGATGTTGCTCCCATGCATAAGGGTGATGTCAATGTCACCTGAAGGTCAGGTCAGGTCAGGTATGATGACTTATGATGACCTCGGTATACTTTTTCAAGCAATGCATGTTTCTAGGCTATTTGTTTAAGCTGAATTCGATTTTAGCAACCATTTGAACATTTAAGAAGTAGTTTTGGTGCCTTCGTAACATGTTACGAAGCTGTCAGAGGCGGTTGAGACGTACCACAGAATAAGTCAATGGGAGAACACTGACAACTTGAAAATTGACCTTGGCTCAGCATGGCGAGGGTTCCGTGAGTGTTGTCCTTTTTCAACGAAGCTAACAATCTGTTATAGCGCATTTCCGCAAAGGAGTACAATGAGCACTCGCTAGCTCACCGCACTAAGAAGTATATTTGACGTCAGGACGGGAAACATCACAATAAAGCTCCTCGTGGTCACAAGGCATGGCACCAAATCACAAACACCTCCCCTGCATCAGTACAATGATTGCAAGTTACGCTGAAGCTCTTCTAGCGGAAACATGGTCCGAGGTGGCCCGGTGACTCTGCGACGACCGCGGGTCGGGCCGCTGGCGTCGCACCAGTGCCACCGGGCCGACCGGCGCCCCTCTGCGCGGCTCCACACAGTGAGCGCACACTGGTCCGGCCGGGCCGTCTGCGCGGCTCCCCGCAGTGAGCGCACACTGGTCCGGCCGGGCCGTCTGCGCGGCCCCCGCAGTGAGCGCACACTGGTCCGGCCGGGCCGTCTGCGCGGCCCCCGCAGTGAGCGCACACTGGTCCGGCCGGGCCGTCTGCGCGGCCCCCGCAGTGAGCGCACACTGGTCCGGCGCGCCCCGTCTGCGCGGCCCCCGCAGTGAGCGCACACTGGTCCGGCCGGGCCGTCTGCGCGGCTCCTGCACACTGGTCCGGCCCTCTGCGCACGGGCCGTTCCATAGCCGGCCAGCGAAGGCCGCTGCCGTATTCCTCTAAATCGCTAAGTACAGGCCGAATTCATGGCGCACTGAATCGCGGCGGGGTCGGCCGCCGACCACCGGACGCGCGGCGGGGTCCGCCGCCGCCGGTCCCCGCGCCGGCTCACTCCGCGGCGCTGCAGCACTGTCCTCAGCCGTGAGTCTGAAAACAGCACCAAACTGGGGTCAGGACACCCACGCACCGCAGAAGACCCGAGTACCCAATCAGACCTCTCAGAGGGGACTGGGGTACACACTAACAAACAGGTATGCACCTCTCAGCACCGGAGTACCTATGTAATCAAACACAAGTTCTCCTCACAAGTAACTCTCAGAAAGGACTGCCGCCTCGCACCGGAAACAGCAGTCCGCCTTTAGGCTCCATTCAACCGTAGTTACACGATCGTCAGGGCTGGCTGGGCGGCCAAGTTTGGCCGGGTCGTACCGGCTTTCCAGGAAGGGTGGTGTGGTGCCGTGTGCAATGTGCATACCACTAGGAGTTGGTGCCGAGGTGCAGGCGGTTATGGGGGGCGCCGAGGTCGCCTCGCCAGCCGGGTCGCGTGCCAGGGGTCAATGTGCACCTATGGACGGCGGCGCTGGCCGGTACCCAGTGCTCACGGCCGCCGATCGGCACAGTTTGTCAGTCAAACGACAATTGGAAAATACGACATCGAAAAATATTGTGACGCATGGAAAATATTCATGGAAATTGTAGAATGCATTATTAACAAAGGCAACATCACACGGTCATGCAAACGCGAAATAAACCTTAAACAAGTGCCTTTATGTAAGACCATGCCAGCACATATGCCATGCTACATATCAATCTATCACACCAAGCCACTACACGGCGGCCGAACGGCCACCCTGATTTCTGAACCTGTTCAGCTCCTCAGAAGTCAACGCTCACTGCGGAATAGGATACCTGCTGTTAGTCGAATCTACAATAGCTGCCTCTATTAATCTGTAAATTATGCACGCTTGGCAAACCAGCTCAACAATTATTAGTAACATAAGCAAGGGCCCGGGAACGATTTTCGAGTGTGGGAACCTAAAATACCTTCCTTTCATAATGCATATGAAAAAATACAAAGGCATTACACGTGAAAGGTAATGCACATACGCACGTCCTGGTCATGTTATGCGTTTTCTTTTGCAAACGATCGTTCGTGGATAATGGATATATTGTATGTATCTTATCGCAAAGGGTGCTAAACTCTTACTTATGTCACACCACATGCCGTAACTATAAATTGGCAGAAATAAAATCAAGGATAGACATTTAAGACATGGTGCACCAATTCATCCTAGTTGCGATCCCGGCTCCGACTTTCTGCAACAGCGCATGCTCAACCATATGAGTAAAACCGTAATATATTTACGAATTTATTATTAGGACAAAAGGTGTCAAAACGATGCAGTTAAAGGTACTGCAGGTTTCGTGTTGATACGTTCTGTGCTGCAGAAGATATTGCAGAAAAACGGGAGGGATGATCTGTAGAGCCCCCCCCCCAGCCATGCACGGGTTAACTGGCGCCCCACGGGGGGCATTTTTAGCCCCCCCCCCCCCTGTCGTTTTTCTTCAATATCTTTTAAACCGCCGGACGAATCAACACAAAACTTTCAGTACCTTCGCCTGCATCAATTTGAAAACTCGTGTCCTAACATAACTTCGTAGCTTCGATGGGCCGAAAATGACATCAGAGTGACGTCATGTTCGGCCGATTGATGCAAATCATTGAACGTTACGGTGCAAACTCCATATAGAAGCGGTCATTGGGGTTCATATTGTTATTATGAGTATAATCTAAGTCAATTTCCTCATTAAACGGTTAGTTTTCTATGCGGCGTCCATTTATGAAGTACGTCACACTTAGTTACCATTTACCAACAAGCGGTATCATAATAGCTCCGTTTTTGCCAGTATACTGCAGTTGCCAGTTGCGACCGAGTGCGACGGTGGCGCCGACTATCGGCTACTCATGCACTTAGGTCTCGCGGCGGCCAAACTTTCGATGAAAACGTCCCAGTGTGGAGACCTAACGATTAAAGGGACTATCCCACCTTCTAAAATGTTGTTAAAACCAGTTAAATTGTGCCCGACTCTATAGATTGGATGACCAGGAACACGGTTCTGGCATTTATTTTTCATTAAACATCTTAGGCTTCCCATATTCCAAACACAAACTTTCAAATATGTGACGTCACAGCCCAAAATTACCTCCTTCCCCAGGCCACATTACTGTCATAAAGCTGATTCTTTTTACTCTGTAGGCACCACAACAAAGTTCAGACCAAGTTTTAAGCGATTTTTCAAAGAACAAACCCATTTAAATCAGAATGACTAAACGAGGTGACGTCACACTAACGGTAGCTCCATGTTGAAGATAGGGCCTTGCACAAGGCCCATTTTCAAATGAAGGGAACGAATTTCTTCAACACCAAGAGGCCGCGGGGGCTGCAACCTAGATAGATAGTGGTTTCTGAACCTCGCCGCAAACTTGGCTATCTCAACTCAAACCCCATGTTAAAGGTGGGATAGTCCCTTTAACTGAAAATGTCGGCTTACTGCAATTAATTCAAGTAATATCCGTTTTCCCTTACGTCAGTGGTCGGCAGGTCATTCGGGGTCGTGCCCCCTTTTTGGGCGCCAGGCAGGGCCATTACCCCCACCTACCAGACCCCATTGCTGACACAACCAAGTTTACTGAAATTCCATACCGTCCTGGAACTCTTTGGGTATTTGTGCATTTCCAATGCATCAAATTTAAAACATGACACTTCCTCCACAAAACATTTAATGCCTATATCCCAGTAGCGGCGGAACACCTTCAATTAAGGGGGAGGGGGGGGGGAGCACTGCCGACTTTTGGTCCCATTCTTTCCATGCAACGCCCATAGGACTAATGTTAAAATGCAAAAATCAAAGGGTGCACGGTGCCCCGGTGCCCTCCCCGTTCCGCCGCCTATGCTATATCCCATTTAACCCTTGTACGTATAGGGGCGGCGGGTGGTTTTTCGTTAAAAGTTCACGTAAAAGGCATTGGATCACGACCAAATTGTACCCTCGAGCCCATCATTTTTTTTTTCACCAGCCCGGAAAATATCATGACCTGAGACCAGTTTTACCAACAGAAAAATAACCGCCTGCCGGAATTTTTGCCTCAAGACCGCTTCACATACGGAGCGTAAACGCGATGGGCTCGTAAGCGGATAGGGCTTTACCGTTTACGCTCCATATGTGAAACGATCTTTAGGCAAAAATTCCGGCAGGCGGCTATTTTTCTGTTGGTAAAACTGGCCTCTGGACCCATAATGACCGTTGGCTTATGAGCTTTTTCTGGAGATCATCTTGAGCCATAAAATCTCACTTCAAGAAGTTATAGCGGGTCCCGATTTTCTCGACACTTATCATTGCCCTCTTGAATGAGACGGAATGACCAAGGACCTTAAAAATGGGCAGCAGCGGCTTCCTATGGTCACGGGTAGCACGCTCGTCTTTTTTATGCACAGCTCCATATCAGAGTCCGAGAGGCCGCGGGGGTCCGATCGACTCCTCCCCCTTACGTTAGCGGCTGTTGAAACGCCAACAGACGGGCGACGGTTAAAAGTTGCAGCTGCTTTTGAACGACTGTACGGAGGGGTGAGATGGTGAGGCGAGCAGGTACGTGAAAATTGGTATCTAATCAATGTGTGCTGTGCCTTTGGCCTGGGCTAATCTTTGAACCCTGGGATGCAACAGTCATGATGGCTCCATCACTGGAGCTACAAACTCTAAAAAGATAGGCTTTCTCAGAATCCCTCATTACCCCCACCGAAAGGGCTCCATTACCCCCAAAGGGGGCATGCTCCACCATTTGCCGACCCCTGCCTTACGTACTTTTAACCCATATTTGGGAACAAATAATACCGGACTTTGGCAGCAAAAGATAAAATGTTTATCAGCAATACAGATTGTATCATACCTACAATACCTACATGGTCAAAATATGTCTAAAGATATGCCACACATTATGATGTTTGCCGTAGGATAGCTACATTGTTTCATCAGACTCAATGCAAATATAACTGGATTAATGTGTCTTACTTTCATAAGGTGCTGCAAATATTTCTTTCTTTTATGTCCCAATCCCGGGTCGAATTTTTCTCCCCCATTGATAAAAAATACTGAGGTATGTTTTTCAGTTACTGAACTACAGTGTAGTAGAGCGACATTTTCATTTAACTTGCCTATTCTTAGGAAGCGCAGTTTTGCATACTGCGCTACTTTCCATCGAAATCCGTGCTTCAGCTGATCGATATTTTTTCCTCCATAGCTAAATCCCATGGGTCCAATTTTCTCCGCCATGGATACAGAATACAGAGATGTGTTGCTCAGCTAGCGAACTACAGCGTAATATAGCGACATTTTCATGGCACTTTCCACGGATAACAGTAGTACTACTGTTATCTGTGCACTTTCCTATATGTCGCGAATTACTTTGACATTTCCGATGATACGAACGAGTACGTTACGTTAGATCGTTTAAATCGATGTGTTAAAACGAGCGAATCGAAACGTATTTACCGGATCACTTCATAAATGTATTCACACTCGCCAAATTCTATCGACCTCATTTTCGAAACTATCATTTTTACGCACATTCGTTGACCTCGGCACGTGACCTATAACAAATTCTGACATAGGCTCGTGCGCCCATTTTCGGGGAGCCACAGAGTCGGCGACATCCTCCCCCCTCACTGCGGAAACGGTCGTTAACTACACACGCGCCGGCTACAAAATACAAAACATAGCACTAATCGCATGAACGCATTCTACTAACACTGCGTTCGAACGTTGAACTTTGGACATCCTATTCCTCATCCGAGGCATCCAATACGCACAGTTTGACTACCGGTCGCACGTATGTGCCGCTCTTAGTCTTCAGCTCCACCGTTCTAACGCGACCGTCGGAACCGGGGAAGACCTTCACCACTCGTGCTAGCGGCCATCTTCCACGCGGCAAGTTGTTGTCGGTGACTAGCACAACGTCGCCCACCTGAACTCGTCGGCTCTCTCGCGACCATTTGGTCCTCTTCATCAGGGTTGGCAGATACTCTTTGTGCCAGCGTTTCCAAAAGTGCTCTGCAAGCTGCTGAGCATGACGCCATCGTCTCCGGAAA